GGTCAACATTCCAGCATTGAAGTTCGATTCTCAACGGTAAAAAATGATGATAATTATTTGAATGTCGACGCTCAACGCGAGAGGGTCAAACATAAGGGTCAATTTTCAATCTCACCGCTAATATTTTAATTCTAGGGGCCAATATTTCACTATCCTCAGTTGACCCTCATAGGTCACACCCAAGGGTCAACATTCGACTCTCAACGGTAACAAATGATGACAATTATTTGAATATCGACGTTCAACCCGTTAGGGTCAAACACAAAGGTCAACATTTTTCAACCCTCAATTTTACTCAATATTTCCAAGCAAAACATTGTTTTTCTAAGCCCAACAAAATCACTGTCTCTTCTGTCTTAAAACTTCTCTTTCCGTGTGCACGCGCTCCCTCCACCCTATCATCTATTTTACCTTTTTGTAAACAATTGTCTGACCTCAAACGAGACTCAAACGGCACACAAGCTCCTCGTCATGACGTTCCCTGCCACCACTCGCTAATTCACCTGTGGTTTTTTTCTCTCTCTCTTTGTTTTCCTTTTTTTACGGACACGAAATATATTCACCGGGCCGAGTAGAGCGACGAGTGACCCAAGAGACTTTTCTAACGATTTTTTTCCCTCTCGCTTCTATACCCATTCTTTCTCCTCCCGCCGCCTCCTGTGCGATAGTTTCTCCGGCCTTTTTTTTCCGTTGAGTCTTTCCCACTGGCCAGGGTTCAATGACGTCTTTCCAGTGAATGTGGAAAGACACATAGACTCCCGGTTAAATGTACATAGGAAAAACTACGACGGATATGTAGACCAGACTTCGATCCGAGTGAGGAATCGATCAATCCTTCTGCGTTTTCATTTACATCTATACCACCTACACACGAGAGTGCCAAGTGGAATATAAATGAAGTAAATCTAGTCGCAGATCGTGAAATGCAATTTGTTTACATTTACATCGTTTAATTGATTTAAGGATATACATGTACATTTTGCTATTTTTTCTCCAGTGAAATGCTTTGCTGTTTTTGTTGTCGAACATCAGGGCTTTCATTTGAGCTCCATTTAACCCTAAGTTACGGATATTTTGCAATGATTTTATTATTTAAGTTTTGCATTTTGAAGATCTGAGGAAAAAATTGAAAAGATTCGTTTTGAAGGAAGATTGGTGAATTAATTAAAAAATTGCGATTAAGGTTTTCGAAAGCTTAAACAATTTCAATTATTCATTCATAAACAACGAATGTTTAATAAACTAATAATTCTGTGCAAAATGTGACTCGAATCCCGCTGAATATTCATGATTTTTCCCCAATTTTATCGCGAAAATCACAATCAACTTTCAGTGAAATGCTTTTCAGTCTTTGTCGTCGAATATCAGAGCTTTCATTTGAGCCCTGTTTGACCCTAATCCGTATATTTTGCAATGATTTTATGATTTAAGCTTTGCATTTCGAAAAGCTGAGGAAAAAATTAGAAAGTCTAGTTTTGGAGGAAGATTGATGAATTAATTAAAAAATTGCAATTAAGGTTTTCGAAAGCTTAAACAATTTCAATTATTCATTCATAAACAACGAATGTTTAAAAAAATAATTATTCTGTGCAAAATGTGACTCGAATCACGCTGAATATTCATGATTTTTCCCCAATTTTATCGCGAAAATCACAATTAACTTTCAGTGAAATGCTTTTCAGTCTTTGTCGTCGAATATCAGAGCTTTCATTTGAGCCCTGTTTGACCCTAATCCGTATATTTTGCAATGATTTTATGATTTAAGCTTTGCATTTCGAAAAGCTGCGGAAAAAATTAGAAAGTTTAGTTTTGGAGGAAGATTGATGAATTAATTAAAAAATTGCAATTAAGGTTTTCGAAAGCTTAAACAATTTCAATTACTTATTCATAAACGACGAATGTTTAAAAAACTAATAATTCTGTGCAAAATGTGACTCGAATCCCGCTGAATATTTATGATTTTTTCCTAATTTTATCACGAAAATCACAATTAACATTCTGTTGAAATTAATCTATTGAAAAATATGAAAAATCAAACGAATGTCTGAATAATGTCATAATATTTTGGTAGCCCAGAATGAGAATTTTTAATCAATCGGAAATTCATGAATATTCTCCTGAATTTTTCTGATTTCTATTAATATTCATAGAATAATGGAACTAGGAATTCAAGTTTACATTGACTTTTTAAATAAAATTGCGAATTTTCAATTGTGAAATTTCCTTAACCTTCAGATAAAAATACTCTTGAATTTCTCTGATTGTTATTAATTTCAGTAGCCCAAGTAAACTGCAATCGACAGTCTACATCAATTTTATCATCCAATTGCAAATTGCCAATGGCAAAATTCCCTTAAATTTCATTGTCATTTGAAAAAAACCCTTCAGAAATTACCTAATGAAAGATGCCCTGCACTTCATGATGCTCTTTGTCCCACAAAATGAACGGAATTTGACGCGTAGTCGATGCCTCCGTTGGTCCCCCGCTAGTAGAAAAGGTACAGCATCGAGTGGCGAGAAAATAAAAGAGGGACAGCTAAAGGAAACTCGGTAGAGGAGATTCGGGGTGCGGGTGGGCGAGTGCGAGCCGACGTGGGCAGGTGGAAAGGACGAAGGACAGAGCGAGGGTGGGAAGGGTGGAGATGGCGGCGGGTGGGGCTACNGGGGGGGGGGGGGGGGGGGGGGGGGGGGGTGGAAGGGAACGGATGAAAGGACGCTTACCAGCTACTACCTATTGATCGCCAATTCTTTTTCTCTTGTTGCATATTAGGCGCACTCTGCCCTCCCCCTCGGCCTCCATCGGCTCCTCCACCTCCACGAATCAGTCCCTACGTATTTCCGCCCTCCGAGGCTCCCCTCCTCCTGACTCCTTTTTATTTCCACCTTTGCCTTACACACTCTATTCTATGTAATAATGCACATGAGAGTGGAGTCAGAAGCAATTTGGCGGGGGGTTTAATGTTTTTAGATTATAAAATTCCGAATGGAGACGTGAAATGTCAATTATTTGGGTGGACCCTTATGGGGTTGTAGGAGGGGTAGGTAAGGGTCAATTTTAGTTGTGATGTTTGGTGCTTAGGGAGGGTGTGGGAGCGTCAGAATATGAGGATTTTATTTGGTTTATGGAAGGTTATGGAAGGATTAAATGAGGGTCACCATTCCAATTGTGATCTTTTACCCTTAAAGAGGGCGTGGAATTTTATTTGACCTTATGAAGATTACGGAACGGTTAAATGAGGGTCAAAATTTCAAATGTGATTTTTAACCCTTCGGAGGGTATGGAAGGGTCAGAAAATGGTAAGAATTTTATTCGATTTTATGAAGGTTATGAAAGGGTTAAATGAGGGTCAAAATTTCAATCGTGATTTTTAACCCTCAGAAGGGCGGGAAGACTCAGAAATAGTGATAAATTTATTGAACTTCATAAAGGTTCTGGAAGGGTAAAATGAGGGTAAAAATTTTAATTGTGAATTTTATTTGGTTTTATGAAGTTTATGGAAGGGTCGGGTGAGGGTCAACCGTTTATTTATGACGTTTGACCCTCAAAATTTCAATTGTGATCTGTGACCCTCAAAGAGGGCATAGAAGGGTCTGAATAGAATGATCATTTTAATTGTCTTTATAAAGATTACGAAAGGGTCAGATGAGGGTCAAAATTGTGATGTCTGACCCTCATGGAGGGTGTGGAAGGGTCAGACTACGGTCATTATGTAATTCCACCTTTACTAAAGTCGCAAAAGGTCAAATGAGGGTCAAAATCTGAAATTTGCCGATTAATATTGACGCGCTGACGTCGCCCCAGAAGGACCAGAATACGTTGATGAGGGTCAAATCCTTAACTGTGACTTTTGACCCTTAAACAGGGCATGTATGGGTCGCAAGGGTCTCAATAAGATGATAATTTTAACCAACTTTATGAAGGTTACAGAAAGGTCAGATGAGGGTCAAAATCTTAACTGTGACTTTTGACCCTTATGAAGGTCGCGGAAGGTCAGAGGGTCAAACTTTGAATTTTAACGGTTGACGTTAAAGTCAATGTTCTCAGGGGAGTTATCGCCCCACGAGGGTCAATTATAAGGGTCAAAATGTCAGAAGGTCCAGAATTAAAAAAATGGAATCGCCCTTACGAGCCCTTATGACCCATCACCATGTCCAACACTATTGCCGAGAGAATGCTAACCCGAAATTTATATTTCTGTTTCCAGATACTCGATTAATAATTCAGTGGCCGTGTCATTGAGATCAAAAGTACTGGTGTGCATTCACGTGTGATAAACAACGGAGGACGAGGAGGAAGACGAAGAGGATAGACTGTTGTAACTCGTTGTGGCCAGTGGTGCTAGCGGAAACGGCGTCAGCAGTGGCGAAAGAGTCAACCGAGGCGCGGGAGATAAGGAGGCGACGAAGTAGAAGAAGGAGGGGACGGTGGAGAAGGGGGAGAAGGACGACAGCGTTGGCGAGTTGGGTTGAATTAACACAGAGAATTGCCAGATATACGTAGTGAAGAGTAAACGCGTGGAGGAGTTTAAAAAAATGATATAAATATTACGACATATATTTTAGGAAAAATGATAAAGAGATCTCATGGGTCATCAGCATTCCCCGTTGAATTGTCATTCAATGAATTATATAATGAATAAACATCATTACTGAAGCCGTCGCCTTTCTCCTCCCGCGCCGCCCATCAACGAGACAAACATAATTTAATAGAGTTAATTGTTATAATCAAAATTGTAAAGTTATTCAACGTATTTTGTTGATACTGATATCACGGATACAGCGGCCAATATCACGTGCTAGAAACCGGGACGTCCGTGCAAGAGCTTGTGTGTACATCAGTATTTTATATTAAGTGACCCTATCAGTGTCGCTGGTTGAGTTTGTGAAAAGTGTTTTTAGATAAATTCATCCACCAAGGTGGACAATCTGGGATACAGATATTAACGAGACATCCCGGGCAGGCGTACAACCACACATCCTAAGATGTGATTTTTCCAAAAATGGCGGATTGCCCCTATGCCCGCTGCATACAGGAACGCAGACACATCAGGAGGGAATTGCTGCGATGGACAAAGAATATGGTCTTCGTAGTTGGTGAGTATTGCGTTGTGTCAATGATTTGATGATTTTTAGTTAGTAGAAATGGGGCAATTACAATTCTATTCATCTTTAGGACTGTCGTAACAATATTCAAATTTATAATATCTTGTTTTCAGATTGTGAAGGTCTCAAGATAAGATTTTTAAAAGTCTTAATTTGATGCATGAAATTCGTAAGTTGAGAGCTTCGAAAGTCTCAAGTTGAGACTTAAAGGTCTCAATTTGAGACTTTTATGCACTCAAGTTGATACTTTTGAGTGAGACTTAAGGCTTTTGAGAGTTTCAACTTGGGAATTTTAAATTCTCAACTTGAGATTTTTTAAAGTCTCAGATCTAGAAAGAAAAATCCTCATTCTGAGACTTTCGAGAGGATCAAATAGAGTTTCATGTCTCAATTTGAGACTTGAGCATCTCCATTTGATCCTCCTGGAAGTTCCAAGTTGAGACTTTGAAAAGTTTTAAGTTGAGATTCAAAGTCTCGAGTTGAGACTTTTGAAGGTCTCAATTTGAGACTTGAGCATCTCAAGAGACTTGAGCAAGTCTCAAGTTGAGACTTAAAGGTCTCAATTTGAGACTTGAGCATCTCAAGAGACTTGAGCAAGTCTCAAGTTGAGACTTAAAGGTCTCAATTTGAGACTTGAGCATCTCAAGAGACTTGAGCAAGTCTCAAGTTGAGACTTAAAGGTCTCAATTTGAGACTTGAGCATCTCAAGAGACTTGAGCAAGTCTCAAGTTGAGACTTAAAGGTCTCAATTTGAGACTTGAGCATCTCAAGAGACTTGAGCAAGTCTCAAGTTGAGACTTAAAGGTCTCAATTTGAGACTTGAGCATCTCAAGAGACTTGAGCAAGTGGCAAGTTGAGACTTTGAAAAGTTTTAAGTTGAGATTCAAAGTCTCGAGTTGAGACTTTTGAAGGTCTCAATTTGAGACTTTTATGGAGTCAAGTTGATGCTTTTGAGTGAAATTTTTCTTTAAGGGGAGTTCTGGAAGTCTGAATTTGAGGCTTTTGAAAGTTTCAACTTGGGAATTTTAAATTCTCAACTTGAGATTTTTTAAAGTCTCAGATCCAAAAAGAAAAATCCTTATTCTGAGACTTTCGAGAGGATCAAATAGAGTTTCATGTCTCAATTTGAGACTTGAGCATCTCCATTTGATCCTCCTGGAAGTTCCAAGTTGAGACTTTGAAAAGTTTTAAGTTGAGATTCAAAGTCTCGAGTTGAGACTTTTGAAGGTCTCAATTTCAGATTTTTATGGAGTCAAGTTGATGCTTTTGAGTGAAATTTTTCTTTAAGGGGAGTTCTGAAAGTCTGAATTTGAGGCTGTCGAAAGTTTCAACTTGGGAATTTTAAATTCTCAACTTGAGATTTTTTAAAGTCTCACATCCAGAAAGAAAAANCAGATTTTCATGGAGTCAAGTTGATGCTTTTGAGTGAAATTTTTCTTTAAGGGGAGTTCTGAAAGTCTGAATTTGAGGCTGTCGAAAGTTTCAACTTGGGAATTTTAAATTCTCAACTTGAGATTTTTTAAAGTCTCACATCCAGAAAGAAAAATCCTTATTTTGAGACTTTCGGAAGTCTCAATTTGAGACTTTCGAGAGGATCAAATACAGTTTCATGTCTCAATTTGAGACTTGGGCATCTCTCAAGAGACTTGAGCAAGTCTCAAGTTGAGACTTTGGAAAGTTTTAATTTGAGACTCAAAGTCTCGTGTTGAGACTTTTATGGACTCAAGTTGATACTTTTGAATGCCTTAAGACTTTTGGAACTCAACTTGAAATTTTTCTTTGAGGGGGCTTCTGGAAGTCTTAATATGAGACTGTTGGAATTCTGAACTTGAGACTTTTGAAAGTCTCACCTTCAGAAAAAATCCTTATTTTGAGACTTCAAACATGTTCAATTGAGAATTTCGAAAGGATCAAATAGAGAGTTTCAAGTCTGAACTTGGAACTTGAACATCTCCATTAGCTCCTCCTGAATATCTCAATTTGAGACTTTCGAAAGTCCCAATTTGAGACTTGAAAATCTCTGTTATAGTCTTCTTAAAGTCTTGAGACTTTCAAATCTCACCACGAAACGTTCAAAAGTCTCAACATCATACTTTCAGCGGATTTAAATTTATATTTTCCCGTCTCAAATTAACATTTTCAACTCTCAAATTAAGATTCCCAAGTCTTAAATTTCGACATTCGAAACTCATAACTTGAGACATTCAAAAACCTCAAGCTGAGATCATGTCTCAAATCAAATCTAATTTTTTTCTACGAGATTTATCGAACATCGAGTCCACCTAAAAACAAACATACTCAATTAATTACTCAAAAATGTAAACACCAACTTTCTCGGCGATCATGGCACCCCTCTAAACAGCAACTATAACGGCCGTTATAGTAACAACACCCCAAAAACGAAACCACCGAACGTTTCCCCTCTCCACTAAATCAACCCCGCCATTCCCAACTCTCTAACCCCCTCCCCCATCCCCTCCCCCTCTCCCAAAACCCCCCGAAAAAAATCTCCACCAAGCCACCCTCCCCGTAAAATTCCCAAAAGAGAAAATTCATCGAGTATCTGGCACACTCTCGCGTGACGAATAATTTATGCAGGACTCTTTGGAGTTTGCCGGTACGTGACAGAGTGTGGGAGCCACAGATACCCCCCCCGCACACATGAATACTGTCTCTCACAGCCCCGAGATTTAGAGAACGGATTGAAACGGCCGTGTCGACCGAGAGACCTGTTGCCAGTGGAAAAGCGCCGCATGCACCCGCCCGGCTGCACCCGCCAGCCCCTACCAGTCCCAATTTTCTGAATGTTTGACCCCGCGGCTGTCCCCCCCCCCCCCCCCACCGCCGCCCCCTGCATTATAATTACTCCGGAATACATTTTTTTTTGGACTTTATAAGAGAGAAAAAAAATCCGGAAGAAATGAAGAGAACGGGCGTCGTCCTGCGCGTATGCCTTGACCACGGACAACCGCGCCCGAAAACCTTTTCTTCCCCTTCCTTATCCCCATTCTCTACCCCTCAAACTACACCCTTAACCCCTCCTACAGCCGCGTACCTTGCACACCATCACCCCTCATTCCTTTTCCCTAACCGGCGTCGACTCACTGCTTCATCCCCCCCCACCACCCCCCATTTTACCATTTTCTTCACTGTCGCCTTGCACACCAGCGAGTGAGACTCAAGCGTTTTCTCGTGTGCTTCAAACGTCGTATCATAATAACGTTCCGTGCTTACGGTATTGTGATGAACACTCGTTAGTCATGATTTATTTATTTTTATCGGGCTTTTGCTGTTGTGGAGGGAACTGTTGGGGTTATTTCGGTGGATTTTGAAGGGGATTACGAACGAAGAGGTGAGGATTGTGGCTTTTCAAACATGTGCTTGGTAGTGACCGGTGGGAGGGCATTCGCTCGCGTGTTGTGGTTGTCAGAGGAGACACGGAGAAGGTGGAGATTAATTATCGCGAGGAGCTCGGAAGATTTTACTGCAGGGGCGAGCGGCCGCGAAAGGTTTTTTATGAAACATCACTTTGGGGAGGAGGTTTACGATTCGTTTGGTGAAATCATTGCGAGAGTGAACATTTTCTGGGGAGAGTTTGGTTAAAAAGGTAATTCAGTAGCGAAGGGGTAAAAGGAGATGTGTTAATTTTGACTATTGACCAGTTTTCAATCAATATCTCGGAATCTAAGGGAGATAACAAAATTTTTGTTATGACCTTTTTTGTGGAGCCGATTGAGTGCTACGACAAAGGTCATTACGACAATTTCGCTATCTCCCGTAGATTCGGAGATATTCCTCAAAAACTCAAATGGGGAATAAGTCGACTTATCTCCGTTTACCACTTCACTACGGAATTGGCCTTCGCAGAAAAATTACTAGGCATTGAGTCGATTTGATTGAGAATTTTCCGCAACTTTCCACTCTTTTTATAATTGTTTTACGTTTTCTTGCGATGAGATGTTTTTCGGTTGAAAACATAGGGAAAGTTCGTCTGAAAATAAAAACAGACAGTCTGTTTTGCAAGACACGCTTTTTCATGGACAGGATTTATGATGTTGTAAAGTTTTTGATTGAAAGAATTCAGTGATGAAGTGCTTTCAGTGAATTTTTATGAATCTGATGAAAATAAAAAAAAATTTGGGAGAATTTTTCTCGTAGGGAAAAGTGGTTCTCGTGGATTCTGAAAGTTTCCGAAAAATTGATATTCGTTTAAGTGAAGTTGACTTTGAAATGAGCTTTCTATGATTATCTGTAGATCTAGAATAAATTAGAAAAATTATAAAAGTCTTTTTATGAATTTTATGGCGCTTTACAACAATTTTGCGGTCCCATTTGAATTTAAAAGTATTTTCAAAATTCTGAAACTAAAATTGGGGAATGTCTTACGGTTCATTTGGTGGAATTTGGTGAAATAATTGCAATAATTAGGGCAGCAATGCGAATGACAAGAGAACGAACGAAAGTGAAAATTTCCTGTACAGAATTTGGTTAAAAATATTCTCCTTCACAGAAAAATTTCTAGAGTTTCATTTATGATTATTCATTTTGTTTGGTAATTTTTCTGCCATTTTCAACTCCGCGTATAATTTTTTTACCTTTTCTTGCAATTAGAAGATGTTTTTTCGGTTGAGGTACTGATAGAACTGAAAATTGCGAATAAAAAAAACAGACAATCCGTTTTGCAAGACACTCTTTTTTTCATTCAAAGGATTTATGATATTGTTAAGGTTTTGAATAAACGAATTCAGTGATGAAGTGTTGTCAGTGAAAATTTTAGAATTTTTTTCGCAGAGAAAAATGAGATTTACAGAATGAGTTCTAGCAAAAATTTTGGTGTTTCTCGGGAATTCTGGGATGTTTGCCAAAAGTTGATCTGCGTTCACGTGAAATTGACTGTGAAATTAATTTCCTATAAAAATCTCTAGATCTAGAACAAATAAACAAAATCATAAAAACATTTTTTATGAATTTACATCACTTAACAAAAAATT